AAATATGCGATGGCAATTATAACAATCGTTTTATTATTAGATTTAGGCAAGAATAATAATGTTTGTTGCTTCACCTACTCTATTCACTAATCAAAAGTTCTTACATGGTCGCTTTTATTTATTTTTTTGAATAAGTGTATGCTATCAAAATTGACAAGTCTATAAGGCAGCAGTATCAGTTTTTGATTGCATACATGTGTTAATGTACGGACTAGCTGTTTAATCTATTCAGCATTCTATGCTGGCATATAGTACAAATGGTGTATCATGACATTTAACGTCTTCAGCCTTCAACTCTTCCACATATTTAGTGTCAATGTTATATCGTGCTCGCTTTTACTAGTTTTGCAATACAGTAGTGTTCATTAAGATTTAAGCAACATACAATAAGAATATATTGAAAAAGACAATATTACCCGATATAAAATTAGCCTCAAACATTTTAATCTAAGTTCATTTATATTAAAACCAGGTATAACATGAAAAACAAAGTGTTGATGTAATAACTCGTAATAAGCAATACATTGACAGCGAAAAATGACTGTAGGCAAATCATTAAGAGATTCTAATCTAATATTTCACACCTGTTAATTTGTCATCAAATTTAAATATTATTTATTCAATCATATTTCTATTGAAAATTAGGAATGACATAAATATGTGACTAACTAGAATAGTGTGATTATTCAAATATATTTATCTTGTTTTCTTTACGTCAACTAACATCAAGAAATTAGACATGAGAACATGATAGCAAAGAATTTTTAAATATCACTATACATAGTTTGTATAGATTTTCTGAATTTCAGAATTCGTCTTACGAATCCACTGTGGGAAGACAACCAGTGAAAATCATGAAGACTTCGGAAGCTGTATGTCCTAGAATAGAATAACCAAAAATCTAGTGACTGATGGATTTCAGTAGCTAACTATCTACAGTCAGTTCATTGTGTTAGAAGTTCAGTCAGTCAGTTACAAAGTAGAACTTCGTACATATGTACATCATTTCAGGTTGCCATACCACATCAGCACAGAGACGCAAATGTCAGTTCAAATCCCATAGTGGTAATGACAGTAGAAGTATTAGCAGTATTGGAGAAAATTAGGGTTCGAAGATACGATTCGAGAAATATAATTCAGTGAGATAAATCTAGAAGGAGAAAGATAGAGATTATGAGGAATTCAGAAGTTTAGAATTTGAGAGGACATAATGAACGAATGCACCTGCGCCACTGCAAGCGATTTTAAGCCATGTCGTTCAAGGTCTTTAACCATTGGTAACTTTCGTCTCGCGGACCCCAACCAGGTAGTCCACATCTACCAACATGACACAGTCCACTTGTCAGTGATTTCATGGATTTGTGGCATGTTTTGGTTTGGCCGCCCCTAGCTTTCTTCCAACCTACTCATACACCACAAAGCATAGCTCGTCGTGGAAGTCGGTGGTTAGCCATACATAACACATGTCCCAACCACCTCAACTGATGAAGTTTCACTACTTCGTCTATTGATTTGCCATCCCTACCTAGAACTCGTTTCCTAACGACAGGATTGCTTATACGGTTGTCCCAGGATACACGAGCAATGCTTTTAAGACACCCATGATCAATTACTAGTAACCTACAAGTATCGATTCTTAGCGGCCATGTTTCGCATCCGTATAGTAGAACGGAGCGGACTGCTGCGCAGCAGACTCGTCCTTTGGTTAGCAAACGGATATCGCACCTACGCCATAGTTGAAGAAAATTGGCAAAAGCCAATCCATGACGAGATTTCCTCAGTCACCAGGCCATCACAACTGAAGAGACTCCCGAGATAAGTGAAGCGGTCTACACGCTCAACTACTTCACTCCCTATCGATGCAACCAAATCTTGAAGCAACATTTCGCATTTCGACGGGGAGAATCGCATCCCGAACATGCTTTCATTGTTGCTTAGGGCAGTCAGAAGACTCTGCATATTATCAGCGACTTCATCAACTAGAACTATGTCATTGGTATTTTCTAGGTGATAAAGTGAGTCTCCTGGTAGAAGGTTCAACGCTGAAAAGTCTGATGAAGATAATGTTAAATCTAAAAGCATGTTTACGACAAAGTTAAATAGTAATCAAGGGAGTGGACAGCCCTGATGGACACCCCTTTAAGCAATTATTTCCGATGACTGTTCGGCATAAGCTCTCACTCGACTAGTGGTGTTCGAGTAGAGAGCTTGTATAAGGTTAATGTACTTCTCTGGCACTACCATGGAACCTCACGATCGATAGAGTCAAACGCCACCTTAAGTTCGAGAAACACTCCTATTGTTGGGCGTCGGAAAGTGTTTTTGTTCTAGGAACTGACGTAGTGTGAAAGTGTGGTCTATACATCCACGACCAGGTCTGAAACCAGCCTGGTTTTCCTTAGTCTACTCTTCACGAGCTCCAGTTAGACGTGTGAGTATTATCAAGGCTTGTCGATAGACACTTCTTGGAAGTCGTATACAAGATCAAATCAGCCAACTAAGGAATTGGTAGCTGTCTGTCCACAGTCAGTCCTTGATGTTAAGATCAGACTTCATCACCTTCCTCAACGAGCGATGCTTCTTAGTGTATAAGTGGGTTAGAAGAGACCTAAGAAGACCAAATCATAACGTTGCATCGGTTAATGAAGTCAATGACTGTTAGTCTAAGCCATGGTAGTTGATACAGATCACCAGTTTAGGGTCCATATGATAGCCGTAATCAGTGGTTGGAGACGTTGAGCGAAGGAATATAATTTTTAGGCTGTCTGTCGATTGTGTCCGTCAGTCTGTTCATATGCTTCGTCAGTACATTGGTATTTAAGCTACAACACGTAATTTCAACAGATAACAATCTTCCGGCTCATGATTAAACATGGCTTTCTTTCTGAATAGAAGTTATTTCAACCGACTGGCCTAGTGAAATAGACAATGGGTAAATTCAGTTATCAATAATCCAAAAAATTAGATTCACAATGGCCACTGGCAAAATATTTGAAAAGTACAAAATAACCAATCGTCAGATAACTATAGTCTAGAATACTTAAAATAACAGTAACTTTTATGGTCTACGTAATCACTTGAATTTAACAAACTTTGTTTATAAGTAAAAGTTGAATGTAGGCAGTTAAACTGACACGTAATGTGAAACTGATATAAAAAGAAAAAACTCATCTTGCTTTGTTAACAGATATTTTTACAAATAATTTGATACAAAAAACAATGACTTGAAACAAATCAGGAATAGAATACTAAAAAAGGAACATTTATATGCTTTGAATCATTGAGCTTATAAAATATTTTTGATGAAAGAAAATGATAATAACTGCCAATCTCACATTCCTAATGAATATATATAAATAGACTATCTATGTTTCATAGGAAGAATCCAAAATCCGATGATTGTTTATAATACAAACTAAAATCTACTAAAAAACTAATGGAAAGTAGATGATAAGTAACTAATCCATTCATTTGTATTGGTAGTTTGATTCTTCCTATTGATATTTAGGACTGTAACTGATCAGTCCTTTTGGCATTTGCTTATCCTATGTAGATGGCCTCGGTAATGCCCTTCAGTTACAAGCATGATTCAAAGGTGGATATTAGCTAGCTGGGGAATCTAGGATGCGCGTTTCACCATATTCGGGACTCACCAACTGAATGTAACTGCATCTCAGAGTTTATGTTCACTCAGGGACTTGGAACCACTACCGTTCTCCTCGAATTCTATCGTTTTCTGGACTCAGTAGATAAGTCAATAATACGAGCTTCACAATGAACGTCAACTGTGCGATTCAGGTCTATTCAGCTTACGAGTCCTAAATAAGTCGAAATGCTCCTTCCACTGCCAGCCACTATCCACCTCCGCTAATAACGACTTCTTCGTTCGGAAATCAATAAAAGTGAACATTCATGACCCTTTACTGAATGATGCTCAGAACCTGCATGTCCCGAAAGGAATATGATACATTTCGGTAACTGAGTTGAATTCAGTTGTTTGTATTTCATCATCATCAGGGAATAAATATTTTACTGCTACCCTGGTTGATTCAACTAGTAAAAGCTTCTCATCATAATTTAGGGCCGCTCATTTCAAAGCTGGCTAGCAGTGAACAAACTAAAAACTTAAGTGTGAATTCAAGCTTTGATCTAACGCCTGTAATTATTTAGTTCTATTTATGATATTTATGGTTTAAAGCATCTGCAATAAAGTATATAATTAAGATCTTGAAACTTTTACGTTTTTCAGCAAAATATAGACTTAAGTCTTCATTTAACTTAAATCTTCCTCTCGGTTTACATCAATATTGTTCAATATCACATAAGTTAATACATTAATGGGGAACCACCCAATGAAGGATAATTAAGATCCCACTATTTCAAGTGGAAGTGCCATTGATCTGCAATAAAAAGTAGGAAGCATATATCAATAAAAGAATATCAGCACTTATTTCAGAAATTACTCTCAAATACTAGATCATATCTTTTATAACCTCAACTTTCTGATGTTCTCAAAGGTTAATGTTCAATAAAATGAAATGGATAAGTTGGTATTAACTTCAGCTAACTGACAAAATGGTATGAGAATATTATTCCAGACTCACAATAAACTGAATCATGTTTGATAATATGAGTTTTTCTTGAAGCTCAATTTCGAATTGTAATGTTCATAAATAACTGTTGAACCGTTTTGAAACACTACACAAACAATAATCCACAATCTTATATATTAAAAGATAGCATACTAAAATATCTAGGTGTTATTTTTATAAAACTCCGTTCCATTGGGGGTGACAGGCGTAAGTAAGTAGGTAAGTAATACATGAAATTAATAGTCTTTTGTTAAAAAGTAGAAATATCTATCGAACTATTACTGTAAATGATGATTACGAATGAATAAAATTGAATTTTCCCTTAAAACAAATGCATCTTCTAATTAAATAAATGTTTATAATAATAATAATAATAATAATCACAAATGCAAATTATTCAAACTTTACCTAGCTGGTTTTAATATTCGTTGTAAATTTTCTTCTAATTTACACAAAATTGCAACATTCAACGGTATATGTAGACGTTTAATCAATGCATTGAAATCAAAAGTTGAATCAAGTACCATATATGCACCATGTAAACCACTTGCATCAATTCCATGCAGGAAATCCTGTTTTAGAAGTAGAAATAATAATTATAATACTAGTAATAATAATAATAATAGTGATAATAATGTAAACAATTGTTTGACCTATGAATATTTAATTAACAATAATGTAAATAGCGTACTATTTATTTACCTATTAAGTTCATAGTCATAAATTCTGTTCCAAAGAAAAACAAAAAATGATCATGAATTTCCAAGAAAAGCCACTATCAACAAGAATAATCAAACTTTCAGTACAGACTACATTGGAGGAGCCAATTAAAGAATCTTACACCTTAAAGTTAAATGCAATGACCAAAAATACCTAATATCAAACCATTTTATTATTGGTGCAATGTTTTTAAAGTATCTACAAGTCAATTATAATTATTTGAGAGTTAGTATATGTTCCTGATTTTTTTTGATAATATTATATTTCAATTTTGTAAATATTGTTCCTCACAAATATGCTAAAATCTCACCTCATTGAGAAGTAACAATAAGAAACGTAAGCGAATATAATCACTGATCTTTAATTTTTAAGACTATGTTTAATATTTGATAAAAATGTCAACACGACGTAATACCAAAAAGTGTAGTTAAGGTTTTTGGAAGGTGTGTTGCTTTCTGTCACGGATATTAAGGGCTGAAACTATTCTGTTTTTATTGGTAAATCTACATCCTGTGAGGATTGTTTGGACATTACCTTTTATTTGGAAGCGCCTTTAGTATATTTGAGTTTCGGCTAACATTAGAATGCAAGACATGGATATTGTCCCATTCAATGCTCGTCAACTGCTAGTTAATTCTGAGACTCAAAATCAGTATCAATCGCTACAGGAAGTATACTATTTATAGCAGCTCCAGGTGATAATGTTTGATATGTAAATTTGCTAGCTAGCATTCTATGGTTAAGTAGACTTCGTTTTAATTTTAATAAACTTTCTTATATTTAGTCGTTTCTATAAAACAGCAGTAATAAAGTAGTCACTAATATCATATTTGTCCATTTCAATGAAGCTGATCAAATCCTGCTGATCCAGTTGTAATTCGGCTACAAATCTGAGTCACTCAACATTGCATGCATTATGTCGAGATGTTGGTTGCTTGAAGTTAGTTGGAATGAAACTCTATTTTACCTTAGGTGTTTGCTAGGTAGCTCTCAAACCGAAGAAATATCTGAAATCCTCAGTGAGCTGATACTTTCTCTGAGATTTGAACAAAATCATTAAGTCTCTTAGTCGAAGATGTTATCATTAGACTATTTGGTGTCCAACGTCATTTAAATCTAGTCCCCAGTGTGAAACTCGATGATCGGATGAAATCTAACATGTAGTAGCGTCGGATGCCATACAATTAGAGGTAGGCCTCACTGATGAATGTCAATCAACCTCAGAACTTAGTCCTGTAGAGTACTTACGATTAAGTAACACCAAAACGCTGTAATTTGTTTGTGATATATTAGCACTCGAGTTTCGTCAATGCCTGAGATTTTTACACATTTTAAATCATCAATCAATCATTGTTAGACCACCATTTGGAACCTGGAAGCACTGGACGGACGTTTCCTTCTCGCATGGGACTCATTAGCAGTGCGCATCCAGGACTCCTGCTCCCCGCAGGATTCGAACCCGGGACCTTCGTCATTGTAGGCGAACGCCTTACCATCGGACCACTGGGCCGGCATCCAACGGTGTTAATGTCTAACTTTGATTGATCTAGGGATTTTGCGCGACCTCAACCATTTGTCTTTGGTAGTTACTGCCTACACCCGACAGGGTTGATCTCCATTGGTCACGTCTTCTCTAACAATGATTGATTGATTTCAAATGTGAAAAAACGGAAACCTCCAAAACTCTGCCCCAAAATGCTTGAGATTTCGACACTAAAGTAAAATACACATATTTTCCTTGTAATCTTAGGAATGTGAATTTTTTTAAGTTAAATACCATACGTATTTGGGTGAATTAAAAGTGCAGATAGAGGTTCTGAATACATATTATTAAACAAGAAGTATTTAAAATTAATTGAGAAAATTACCTACACATCTCTAAACAAAATTAATTATTCGTATTGACATTTTCTTTGGGAAATATTTATTCACGCCATTAATGGAATTCGTATTCAAATAAATGTCAAACACTGAGAAACACTTATTTATTGATTCGTCCTAATTTTCCAGTCGAAAGCGCGGTAACAGAACCGAAACACCTTAGTTTCTGATGCAACACAGTCTGTTGCATGAAATCCAAATGGAGTCACAAACTTAGAAAGAGACAATTCTCAAGTACTCAACTATAAATATAAATAACTGTTCCAAACCATCCACAAGTAATTGGAAAACAACTATCTATTGTCAGAAAAGTGATGGAACCAAAAGTTATTTTCTACACTAATAAAAAATAAATTGGGTTGAAATTTATATTAGGTGGATTCCTAAATAAATTGTTGATTGAATATTGAAGAATGATTATCAATTGTCAGTTCCCATAGATGTGTGTTTAAACTTATACAAAGTCTGATGTTACACTGTTCAATCGGGACTAGGGTTTGATAGTTAATAATAGGATCACCTGTGCTATTAGATACTTGTGAGATTTTTTTCATTCTCCGAATTCTGGTATCGTGAAGGGCTACTAAAGGAAGTGAAGTGGAGACTGGATTGTTCGTAACGTTGTTGGCTTGAGAACGTGACCAAAGTATCTAAAGAAAAGTTGTTTAGGGTTGGTTATTCATGGTTAATTTATGTGTAGTTGTTTGATAAGACAACATTCAGCCATGTAAATATGTAAGGCAATGTGTACCGTTGATGTCTGATGAAGAATGTTTCGTTTTTCTTAAGTACTTTTCAATCACTTTCTAATCTACATTAATTAACGATCAAAATTATATCGCTCTACAAAACTGTCTACATAATATCTTTCCTTTAAGTAATAAATAGGTTCAATGTAATCATTTTGTCGATACAAAACCATATTAAAGAATAAAACCTTTTAAAAATACTGAAATGATTTTCAGAGTAATACTCACAATCAAATTCAAATACACCAACAATTATTTATATTTAAAAAAAAACATCAATTAAAAAACAGTAAAACTTACACTTAAACCTAAATCGGATAACCATTTACGAACATGATCATTTGTCCAATATAGAAGATCTAATTCGGAAAGATCAGATTTAGCACGAATTTGTTCGATCAACTGAATGTTTAAAGCAGTAAAGAAATCACTTTTTAATATTATTTTAAGAATGTGCCAATAAACTCAAGATATAGAACTATTAATCAGCTCATTACTGGGAATGTATGTAAACGCATTATGTGTTCATTAACTAACTAATCTAAGCTATTTTTTCCGTTGCCCTAATTACAAACTTTTATTTACGTTAATCATTATCACTCATAAAATTCAACTAATTAGTTTTATACATGTTTTACTTTAAATGACAAGCAACGTAGCTTTGTAAAGGGCTGAGATTTCCCAGTTGGTTTGCGTGATGTAAGTTTTTGAGCCATGATAAAACACAGTAAATCAGTTAACCATTCTTGTGTTTGATTGAACTGGTTAAGGACGGAAAATTTCGTCTACGATAATTAATATTGGCATGAACTGTGATTGTATCATGAGCATTAGTATCAAAGAAGTCAGTTTACCACTAAAGAATATGGTTCAAGTGGAGATAAGGAATTGATAATATGATTATAACAAGTATTTTAAGCTTTGATTAGGTATGAACTTCAGTTGATAGTAATGTTTTATTAACTCTGAGATCGAGATATATCCAGCTGATAAGTCCCAAGTTAGACGAAACTGCTAGACACTATCCACTTCAGTAAGTAACGTTTTATTCGTTTAAAAAAATTTAAAAAATACATGCTCTAAACGACTGCAATCGGAATTAAGGTAGAGAACCAAAGTAAACTAGTGAGAATTAGGTACCCGTTTCATTTTAGTTTGAAGCTTTTAAGTATCACCTATCTATGTCATTCTGATCCATAACTTTACGGTTTCATTTAACAAGAAATATAACTGTTAAGATACCAAAACATAAAAAATGCACAAAAATAGGTGTTTTGATGAGATATGTGATTTTAATCGTAAACATTATTCAAACTATTGATTCAGAATTAAATAGCTAGTCTTCTTTAAACTATTACAAATGTTTTATCTAAAGTTGAAGTAAGTGAATTATCAGTGAACGAGTGAATTTAAGTTGATAAATGAATATTATCTCTATACCAGCAAGATAAATCAGTATACGCGATCCTAATAAAATTTTAAACACAATTTTTATGACAGTGATATTGAAATTAATCGAATAGTGCTTCGAAAATACTGTCTTCTACACTTTAGTTTCATCCCTTTCTCCATGTTAACATTTATATTTATTACCCTGTCAATCATAATTTTTCATTACTTTTCAAACCGACATCACATGTTAGTAATTTCCGAATTTGTTTCCTACCATTCTTTGAATTTCAAAAGAGTAAAGAAAAAACATAGTTACGTCATTTTCATTTCATTGATTTTGGACCAAAAAGTAATGAGATAAATGATTTTTAAAATTCCGAAAATTTCATGAATAGCTTGAATAGAATAACATATTCACAGACTTTACATTGAAACATAAAACATGGATTTTTATCGATTCTAATTGACAGTTAATACTAAAAATAAATTATTGCTTTACGTTCAACAGCCAATCAAAAACGCTTGTTCCCAAGGAAATTATTAGGCATAGCATATTCAATATTGATTTTAGTTATGAGTTGTGTTGTAAACTATTTAAGTTCGTTCATTTTGTTTATCGTTTGATTGATTTTATTATGGATTTGATACGACAACGTTCGGATTGCTTAGAAAAAAACGTCCGTTTAACTCTATCGTTATGAATTGAAGGAATAAGCATATCAATTATTTCATTTATCTGCTAGATACAATAGCTTTTACTACCTATTTGTCTACTGAAAAAGTTTCAATGTTTACAAACTTTCTTGTTGCAATTTTCTATCACTTACAAGAGTAGATGGGTAATGTTTACACATATGTCTAGCCAACAAAACTTACCTAAATGAATAATTCTATAATTATTTAGTCTTTGCCAACATCACACTATCTCATATTTATGTTATAGGTATAAAAGGGTGGAAAATTAAACCACATGATTAGGTTACGAAGTTTAGTCGATCGAAATTTTTGGAAAGAAGTTGATTCATGCTTAAATTTACCACATAATTTACCTATTTCATCTTATCAAACTCTGAATCCAATGTTAGTCTTTCTGTAGATTCCCGGTTAGTTTAAACGTACAGAAATTGCATTTCATCGCTCGATCAAATATTTTGTGAATTTTAACTGTTGCTGAAAACATTTATATGTGATATGAACCCACATTTTGTGATATTCAAACTACATTTCGATCTTGATCGTGATAAAGAAATCGTCTTTTGTCTGTTCTTTGTAAGTCACATATTTTTACTAAGTCTACATAGCTTTTTATTAATTTAAATCTTTGAAACTATAAAGAGATTAATGAAGGACACATTTTCCCTAAAAAGTCATTATCTAAAACGTTAACACGATAACTCGACCATTTGTGTTTTAAAATGATTTAATTAGTAATAATTTATGAGTAACATGTAATTCGAATATGTATGCAATAACTTTTAATTCCTTTTAATGACTTAGAGAAGAAAAGTTAAAGATAGATAAAAACATTTTACTGAAATTAATGAAAAGATATAATTTGTTCCTTCTAAAATAAATATAACTGAAAATGAAGTGAAATTGCAAATATTATTTTATCGCGTGATCAATTTTCACAAAAGTCTGACTACCTACCTCTATATTAAAATTATGATGATACAGTAATTCAATAGCTGCACGTAAACTTTCAGCTTCTTTTTTACCAAGCAAATGTCTAGAATCTAAAGATAAATCTGCACCACTACTCGACGACGATGATGATGATGATATATGTGATAAGCCTAATAAAAGATGTAACATTTCTTTGCGTCCAGCTACTTGCCAATTGCGTTCCATAGATTCATTTCCATTATCATATTTATTATTGTCATTAATATGACTACAGGAATCTTGAACAGCGTTCGTTAGGCTGATTGTTGAAGAAATAGATGGAATACTTTTAGCGCTGGAATTACTGTTAATATTATTATCACTTATATTATTACTACCGTTAATTCGGTTGGTTTTCAAATTGATAAAATTTTGTTGTGAACTATTTGAAATTGGAATATCGTCAGTAGGATTAGAAATGATCATATCACAGCTATTGTTATTGTTATCATAATTATGAGGATCGTTTTTATTTTTTCGTCTATATCTATGCGGAATGGAATGTTTTGAACGTTTATATGAGATTAAACTGGACAACATTCGACCATCTACACGACGTATTGAAAACAAAGGAATTAATTGTACAAGACCTAAATGTCTTAACCAAACATCACAAATCCAGTGATAATTTATGTGACTTGGTCCTGGATGCCGTGATATACCAGGTGGTCCATGTATTCGTAAATCTTCAAGTGCTGTAAAAAACTTTTTCCTTAATCCTTCATCACTAAATAAACAATAGAAAAAAAAACGAAGAAAAAACGTTATAAAAACATTGCCACCTTGTAAGAAATGTGAT